ACTGGAGGAGGGACGACCGCACCCCCTCTGGCACCCGGGGCGACTGTGGCGCTGCTCCTCCCCGCGGGCCCGGAATTCCTATGGCTTTGGTTCGGACTGGCCAAAGCCGGCCTGCGCACGGCCTTCGTGCCCACCGCCCTACGCCGAGGGCCCCTGCTGCACTGCCTCCGCAGCTGCCGTGCAAGCGCGCTCGTGCTGGCCTCAGGTAGGACTGGGGAGCCAGAGGGGGCGGGTCTGGTCCCGGGCCGAGTTCCTGAAGTGAGTGAGAAAAAGAGGCCCCGGGTCTGGGAAGGGATGGTGGTGAATCCAAAGGATTCCCAGGCCGTTGGATTACAGGTCCCAGGCGCAACATGGGTGGGATACCCTAGTGCCACCCTCACCCTGTCTCTAGGGACAGAGAGCAAGCCAACGGTGCTGAAGAGCTTAGGGTAGCTGGAGAGCCGTGATGCTCGATTTGCCCATCCTTGTAGAGTTCCTGGAGTCCCTGGAGCCGGATCTGCCCACCCTGAGAGCCATGGGGCTCCACCTGTGGGCAACCGGCCCCGAAGCTTATCTTGCTGGAATCAACAATTTGCTGTCCGAGGCAGCAGCCCAAGTGGATGAGCCAGTGCCTGGGTACCTCTCTGCCCCCCAGAGCATAATGGACACCTGCCTGTACATCTTCACCTCAGGGACTACTGGTGAGATGCCAAGGCAGAGGCTGGGAAGGTCTAGGGAGAGGATTTTGAGGTCACTCTAGCCACTATCCCAGGCAGTTTCGCTCCTTCCACTCCCCAAACTACCTACTCTTCCAGGACATGGGACTCCTCACCTGACTGTGCCCCTCTTGCCACCCTTCAGGCCTGCCCAAGGCTGCTCGCATCAGTCACCTGAAGGTCCTGCAGTGCCAGGGGTTCTACCAGCTGTGTGGAGTTCACCAGGAAGATGTGATCTACCTCGCGCTCCCACTGTACCACATGTCTGGCTCCCTGCTGGGCATCGTGGGCTGCTTGGGCATTGGTCAGTCTCCCTCATATATTCCTCTAGCACAGGGGTCCCCAACCTTCCTAATGCTGTGCCCTTTAATAGTTTCGCATGCTGTGGTGACCCCTCCCAGCCATAAAATGATTTCATTGCTACTTCATAACTGTAATGTCGCTACTATTATGGATCATGATGTAAACATCTGGGATGCCACCCACTGATTGAGAGCCGTCTTCAGCAAGTGTTGAAGGACGTCCTATGCCTGCCTTGCCGGGAGGTGTCCTGAGTCCTAGGTTGTCCCTACTGTAGGAACTCCCGGTGGATGGCAGGAAACGTTATCTGCTTGGGACCACAGGCTGAGCCTGTATGGAGGCTGCACAGTGCCCCGACCCAAACTTCAGGGAGGACAAAGAGAAGGGCTGTGTCAGTCCAGTCTGTAAGGAGTGTTAGCCTCCTTACAAGTGGGGAAAGATTCATCCACCTGTCCTGGAACTAGCTCTTGTAGACCAAGCTGGCCTTGAACTCACAAAGATCCGCCTGCCTCTGCCTCCCAAGTGCTGGGATTAAAGGCGTGCACCACCACCACCCAGCTCATCCACCATTCTTAAGACAGGTCCTTCCCAGGGAGCAGAGGTGCTTAGGATCATCTGTTGACCTTCTCTCTTTTGTGGCAGGTGCCACGGTCATACTCAAGCCCAGGTTCTCAGCTAGCCAGTTCTGGGAAGATTGCCAGAAGCACGGTGTGACAGTATTCCAGTACATTGGGGAGTTGTGCCGATACCTCGTCAACCAGCCCCCGGTGAGTAGGCGACAGAGCAGGCCAGACAGCAGGAGACGCTGAGCCTGAGGTCTGCAAGCTGGAGAGAGGAAGCCAGTAGCCCACAGTTGCACACGCCCTCTGACACCTAGGAGCGGAGAAAGCACAGTGGAGGGAGGGTTCTGGAGGATGAGGGACAGAGCTTCACTCTGGGACCTGGAAGCTTGGTGCTGCAGCCCGGTTTCTCTCTCATCTCAGAGCCAGGCAGAACGTGGCCACAAGGTCCGGCTGGCAGTGGGCAGTGGGTTGCGCCCGGACACCTGGGAGCGTTTCGTGCGGCGCTTTGGGCCTCTGCAGATCCTGGAGACATACGGAATGACAGAGGGCAACGTGGCTACTTTCAACTACACGGGACAACAGGGCGCCGTGGGGCGCGCATCCTGGCTGTACAAGGTGAGAGGCAGAAGGGACGTGAGAGCCCTCAGAGCAGTAGGGGAAGTGAGAAGGCAGGCTCCTGAAGCTGGTGGCCCAGCGTGGCTCTCCTCTTCCCCAGCACCTCTTCCCCTTCTCCTTGATTCGCTACGATGTCCTGACAGGAGAGCCTGTTCGGAATGCCCAGGGGCGTTGTGTGGCCACAGCTCCAGGTTTGTCCTTGGGTTGGGGTGAAGCTGGCAGGCAAGGTTGGACTTTGCAGCTGAAGCGGGGTGGGGCCTAGAGGTCTGGGTGACACTGGGTAACTCACTCCTGACCCCAGAATTTTTCCAGGTGAGCCAGGGCTGTTGGTGGCCCCCGTGAGCCAGCAGTCCCCTTTTCTGGGCTACGCTGGGGCTCCAGAACTGGCCCGGGGGAAGCTGCTGCAGGACGTCTTCCGGCCTGGGGACGCTTTCTTTAATACCGGGGACCTCTTGGTCTGTGATAAGCAAGGCTTTCTTCATTTCCATGATCGTACGGGAGACACCTTCAGGTATCTGTAACTTTCCAGACTTCCAAACTCAGTGATGCAGACCTCAGCAAGCCAGCGGCTCTTTGCCTTCTCACCTCACCCCACATCCCGCCCCGCCTCTTTCTCAGGCTTCCGCAGCAGCCTTCTTCCCTGACCTCTCCGTCTCCTTAGCAGAATTCTAAGCCCTTAACCTTTCTCCACGGCTCTGTCTTCAACAGGTGGAAGGGGGAGAACGTGGCCACTACAGAAGTGGCGGAAGTCTTGGAGGCCTTGGATTTCCTGCAGGAGGTGAACGTCTATGGAGTCAGTGTGCCAGGTGCTCAGCGTGGGGGGGGGGGGGTGCCAGGTTCTCAGCCGCACACAGCCCTGCTGGGCACAGGGACTAGAAGGGCTTCCGTGTCTCCCACCCGCCAGGGCACGAAGGCAGGGCTGGCATGGCAGCCTTGGCCCTGCGACCCCCACAGGCTTTGGACCTTGTTCAGCTGTACGCCCACGTTTCTGAGAACTTGCCACCATACGCGCGACCTCGATTCCTCAGGCTCCAGGTAACCAGCCTCTCCTGCCCCAACCCCCACCCACGCGTCTGCGACTGTTAGTGGTTCTGTTTTTATATCTCAACTCCTGCTTTTTCTTTTCTTTTTGTTTGCTGTTTTTATTGAACTATATATTTTTCTCTGCTCCTCTCCCTTCCTCCCCCCTCCCTTTCTACCCTCCCCTATGATCCCCACACTCACAACTTACTCAGGAGATCTTGTCTTTTTAAACTCCACAAAAGAATCCCAGGCAGGACACTCCAGGAAGAGAAAGGAAAGGCCACTTGCCCCTTGCTAGACATGCTTCTCCTCCCCCTCCCTTTTGCTCTGTGTGTGTGTGTGTGTGTGTGTGTGTGTGTAGGCCAGAGGGCAGCTCTGGCTGTTATCCTCAGGGTCACCAGCCACCTCCTTTGAGGCAGGGTCCCTAGGTGGCTGGCATGCTTGCCAGTTAGGGTAGATTGACCAGTGAATCCAGAGGTGCTCCCGTCCGCCCCATCTTCTCCCAGCATTCTGCACAGGTCCTGTTGACTGACTCCGGGTCTTCATGCTTTGCTGACTGGGCTGTCTCCCTTCAGCCCCTACTTCCAGGCTTCTGACTCTTTTCTCTCTTGCCCTCACCTTACTATGTGTGTGTACAGCATGCACATAAGGCTGTGCCCACAAGGCACCTTCCCTTCTGGCCGGCAGCGGCCTGCACTAAATGGACAAAGTACTTTTCCTCCAGCCTTCTTCGAAAACACCCTTCTCTCCCCAGGAGTCTCTGGCCACTACCGAGACCTTCAAACAGCAGAAGGTTCGGATGGCGAATGAGGGCTTCGACCCCAGTGCGCTGCCGGACCCCCTCTATGTCCTAGACCAGGAAGTGGGTGCCTACCTGCCCCTCACACCTGCCCGCTACAGTGCCCTCCTCTCTGGGAACCTTAGAATCTGAGACCTTCCGCTTAAGGGAGGGCTCTGGGGGTACAGGCCACCATGACTGTACCAGGGGTTTGGGTATCTTTTGTATATGGAGTCATTGTCATTTTGTAATAAACAGCTGGAGCCTGTCCGGTTCATCTTCGCGGTCTGTGGGGCTGCTTTCTCCTGGAGCCCCAGGCTCCGCATTCCTGTCCTGACCTTAGGTGACCCTGAGCTGTGGCTGAGCCTTTCTGATAACCACATCTGACCCTGCTTGGTCCTGGAGAAGCCCTGGTGGTTGATGTTTGTGCTCTTGAGTGTTCATTTACACTGCTCTGTCTCAAGAGCTGTAGGATTCCAGAGGCTTGAGTGGGGTGGCAGAAGCAGATAGAGAAACACAGCCTCTCTCCACCCCGCTCCAGTCCCACCCCACCCCCACCCACCCCCTCCTGCTGACACCACCACAGCCTGAGGAAGTCTCAACCATGGAAAATAAATGTGGGCAGCGGTGGGGAACACTGAGATACAGTGATCTGGAGAAATCAGAGGGGGAGGGAGCCCTCAGCCTCAAGACCACCAGTCAGACTTCCAGAAGGAGAGTTGACTTCCACCCTTAGGGTGGGGCTTGGAGAAACTGCAGTAGCAGGGACAAGGGCGGGTGGGAAGCAAAGAGAGCCGGCTCCTTTCATCTCCTGGAGGGGGAATCCAGAAAGCTCACCATCTGGGAAGACTAAGTGGTGTTACTCCTGTCTCCCAGGAACCGGGGTGCCTCTGTGTTGAGTCGTATTGTTGTCTCTGAGTTTTCTTTCTCCTGACTCTGCTCCCCACCATGAGTGGTCAGAGACTGGGGTCAGTGGCAGAGAGCAGCTCCTGCCGCAGCTGTGCAGTTGTGCCGCCGCCGCCAGGCAGCTCAGCCATGAGAGCCAAACCCCTCTCTGGCCTTGGTGGGCGCCAGGCTTGTGTGCGTGTTGTACACATGCATACATGAAGATGTGCTCAAACACACGACACGCCGTACCTCCAAAGCCTGGACCCCTACCGCCAGCCCTTTTGCCAAAGCCTGCATCCCGCGCTGTGTCCACCAGCAAGCTCGGTTCAGCCTTCCTGAAGGCAGAGACGGAGGCAACATCCACACACTGATTGGTTCATTAGGAACTTTCCCAATCTGCCCCAGAAAGAGCACGGGTGAGGTAAGCCTGGGTGGGGAGGTGGCAGACAACTCTCTGCCACCTCCTCTGCCCAGGTCTTCCACCTCTTCCCTTGGGGAATTACCAGTGACTGCTAGGGCAGCTGCTTGCCAATGAGAGAGGCTGAAATGCACTTAGTCCAAAGCGGGGCGTGTTCTAGCTATGCACATGGCACATGCACATGAGAAAACTGCTCTAGCTATGCACACGGCACATGCACATGAGAAAACTGGGACACAGATTCATTAAGAGTTGTTTTATAGTCAAGTAAAGTGATACTCACTTGAGAATTACTTGAGACTAAGGGTTTGAGGCCAGCATGGGAAACAGCAGAAACCATCTCAAAAACAATATGGGGACAGAGATATAGCCCAGTCAGTAGAATGTTTGCCTCGCCTCCGGGAAGCCCAGGGATTGATGCTCAGCACCACACAAAACCATAAAGCCTGGTGTGGTAGCATATGTCTGCAATCCTAGCACCCAGGAAGCAGAGACAAGATCCTTGTCTACAGAGTGAGCTTGAGTCCAGCTTATAAGACCCTTCTCCAAAAAATAAACACAATGGTTTCTTTTTTTTTTTTTTTGAGACAGGGTTTCTCTGTAGCTTTGGTGCCTGTCCTGGAACTCGCTCTGTATACCAGGCTGGCCTCCAACTCACAGATGCCTCTGCCTCCCGAGTGCTGGGATTAAGGCCTGTGCCACCACCACCCAGCTTAAATAGAATGTTTTAGCATTATATATTGCTTACATGAGGAGATACAATCTTGACTACGTGGAGTTAAAACCTTAATACTGCTTTGTTAAAGCATTGCTATTTTAGAATTATATGGCTCCCTCTTGATCTTCCAAATCAGTTATTTAGTGTCTCCTGGTTTTCTCATTATGGCTCACACACTTCTACTGAACAATGCCAGTGGAAATGCTGACCTTGCTTCACTCTGTAATAAATCATCAGCTGGGCATGCAGGATGCCTGCACTTATCCACAGACTGCAAGAAAGGGGAGTCTGTTCAGAAGGCTGACCCAGGAGTGGCCTCTCCTGAGAGCAGCTACCGCTTAGCCTCCCAGAGGCTACAACTAGAGATAAAAGGGAAGGTTTGCAAGCAGGCCTTATTGTTTTACAGCGGGAGAGACCTTCCAAACTGGCCTTAAACTCACCCGTAGCCCAGGCCGGCCTTGAACCTCCCCTGTCTCAGGCTGACTTAATTCTTCAAAGAATTAGGTTTTCCTACAAGAGCAAAAAACAAAAAAGTTGAAACAAAATTAAATAGGACTATGAGATAACTACAGAATGTGCTGGCTGGTGCCCTTTACCGGCAGGGATGGTCACAGCCCTGAAAGCCGCGGTGGAAAGAACCACAGTACACAGTGTCCATGTGCTTTTTTTTTTTTTTTTAAACTGGAGCAGAAGCAAAGCCGCAGGGTACGTGTGGAGGTCAAAGAACAACTTGCCAGAGTCCGTTTTCTCCTTCTGCCATATAGGTCTTGGGGATCAAACTTGGATCATCCAGCTAGGCAACTGGCCTTTATCAACTGAGCCATGCCCCCAGTCTGCCATTGTTGTGTCTGTGACATCTTTGCTGGACACTTAAGGCCAGGAGGAAGGGCAGCCCATCTCAGGGCAGGAATCTGAAAACTGTGACCTCTGCTTTTGTATGGAATGCACACAAAAGTTTTTGTATTTTTAGGCGATTGAGAAAAATCAAAGAAGTGTAAGATTCTAGGAGCTCAATTTTCAATGTCTCTAGGCAAAGCCACTGCCACTTCCACGTCTTTGTAGTTGCCTGCGATTTCTTCGGTGCCACACAGGACTGCAAAACTTCACCGTGTGGAAGTGGCCTTGACATTTTCCTAGCTCCTGAGCCTCATCTCTCCAGAAGATTTTGGTCACCCTGGAGACGACAGCCAAGAGCTCCTCCTAGTCCAACCTGCCCAGAGCAACCCCAGGCTCACCGCGCAAGCGCACACAGTGCCAGGAAGGCGGGAGGCGTCCTCTTGCTCCACGCTTGGTGGAGCAAGCTACTCACCTGACTTCTTTGGAGCCTCCCCTCCCCTAGCCGGCCCTGAAGCTGAGAGATGAATGGAGGAACGGGACAGAAAGAGGCATCGGGCGGCTCCTCCCTAGGTCTTTAGGGGCTAAAGATGCAGATGCAGCATCATTTGTGGGAGTGAGGTGGCTCCTCCGGCCTCAGGAATGTACACAGAGATTTCAGAGCTCTGTTCCCGGCCAGCCACGGCTCCACGGTACTAGTCTACCGTTCGAGGGGAGCCCTGGGGCACGCCAGTCCTAGCCGCGCCAGATGCTGTAATGGGAAGGCCCAGGACTCAGCGGTTCCCCATTTCAAAACAAAACAGAGAAAATGAACTCGTTAGAATATTTTTGTCATCCCTGAGAAAACAGTCATTACCTACTCTTTCTTCATGCTGCCCTGGAAGTCACGCGTCTATTGTCTGCTTGTGTAGATCTCTGCCTTCTAGATACTGGTGTTTGTTTTACTTAGTTACAACATAACCTCACTCGGGAAGTCACTGTGCAGCCCAAGCTGGTGAGGAACAGGCATCAGCTAGCACACCCAGCTTAGCCATTTTATGCACCATAGACTATGTGGTCTTTTATATGTCTTTTTTCACTTAGCATATTTTACTTGTTATTATTGTTATTACTATTAGAGTGTTGTTTTGTTTTGAGACAGGATTTCTGTAAAGGTTTAAGCAAAATGCTGCGGGTCCCCTAATGGCTGCAGCAGACAGTTGGTCCCAGGCAGGGATTGCACAGTTCCCCAAGTGGCTGCACCGGGCCATGAGTCCCAGTCCCAGGCAGGGAGCCGCGTGGTGGGTGAGAGACCTCGATGAGGCAGTCAGTCCCACGAGGAGAGACAAATGGGCATGTCACGAGACCACGCTGCAAGTCTCCAGAGGCGGCTGGTCCCGGGTAGGGAGCCACGCGATAGGGGAGAGACAGAGATATGGATAGGCATGCCATGCCGAGTGAGGTTGGATATTTATTTTCCGGGTTATGGAGGGGAAAAGGGAAAAGAGCAGAAAGAGAGAGAGAGAGAGAGAGAGAGAGAGAGAAGGGGGAAGGGGAGAAGTGGGGAGAAGGGAGACACAGAAGTTGATTCTTCAAGAAAGGTGGAAAGGGAGAGACTCCAGCTGGCTGGAAGTTGAAGATCAGCTTGCTTCAGCAGACAGGGGAGGGGGTGGGCGTGGCTTAAAGGGACAGAGCCGACCATTACAGGTTCTCTGTGTAGCCCTGGCTGTCCTGGAATCACAAATGCCTCTGCCTCCTGAGTGCTGGGATCAAAGGCAGGCATGTGCCACCTCTTAGCGTATTTTAGATTGATGTATCCATGTTTCATTCCACTTTATAGATGAATGTATTCCAGCGTGTGTGTGTGTGTGTGTGTGTGTGTGTGTGTATCTTTTAGACAGGATCTCAAGGAGCCCAGGCTGTCCTTGAACTTACTATATGGTGGACTTGAGCAGGACCTTAAACTTCTGATCGTCCTGCTTCCACTTCCCAAGTACTGGATTACAGGCACAAGCCACCTTGCCCCAGCAAGGCCTTTGTGAGTGCCAGGTAGGCACCTATTCGGTGCACGACACTCCAGTTCAGAACTTGCCTCTGTGCTGCTGATGTATGCCCACCTCCTCCACGTGACATCCACTGTTGTTGTCGTACAGGATACAAGATTTTGGTTGGGGATTTTGAATTTCAGTCCCAGGGTCTTGTTCTAGTAAACCAGCTGGACTAATGATCCTCCTGCCTCAGGAGGTGCAGACACAACTCTGGACTTAGGGATCTGGCTTTTTGTCACTGGAGCATTTCTTGTTCAAAGCCTGATATTACGAGAACAGTTTGCAAATCTCCCAGTCACTTTGTGAAATGCCATTTCAGTTCCTTGTGGGAGAGTGTCTTCTGTTGTTGTTTGTTTTTCAAGTCAGAGTTTCCCTGTGTAGCT